TCTACCGCATTTACCATGGAGAGTGTTCAGAGGAGCAGTTCGGTCTAATACCTGCAGCTGAGTTTTATCATCGGACGTCAAGGCAAAATACAAAATACCATCCGTATCGCCTCGACGTCCGTCGTTCCACAACTGAGCGTTTTCTAAGGCAGTTTTTGCCGCGCACCACCGCTATGTGGAACCAGCTGCCCACTGAAGTATTTCCGAACCAATACGGATCCTTCAAGAAAAAAGCGGACCAATTCTTGAAAGGCCGGCAACGCAATTGCGAGCCTGGCAATGTGAGTGTCCATGGGCGGCCGTATCACTTAACATCAGGTGAGCCTCCTGCACGTTTGCCTCCTATTACATAAAAATAAAATAAAATAAATAAATAGAATGTTCCCTTGATATGTTCGACGATTCTGCCAGTGCCAAGCTCGAACACGCTCTGACATGAGAGATGTTAATAGTATTGTTCTGCGATGGTATTAAGTATTGTGTAATCTATATATATATAAAAATGAATCCCTATTTCCCTTGGTCACGGTGAACGGCTGGACCGATTTCGATAAATTTGTTTTTGTTGTGAAAGAAAATTGCGCGGAAAATTAGAAAATTAAGGAACACTAAACCACCATATTTAGTAATCCTGACTTTTGTTACGATAGCAAATTTTTTTTCAGTGCATACTGCTTTTACAACCTTATGGCGTTTGACATAACATTGAACAAGCGAAGCGAACGGTATCGATGGAAACGAAATCAATATTCATAGTTAAGACAGGACAACGTTTGTGGGCTCCACTAGTATTATATTAAAATAATTTAATTTTTTGAAACACATTTTCAAAAACATCACATTACAATCTTTAATTTTCATCGAAGACCGAGAATGAGTCTTAGATAATCCAAATAAATGTAAATACGTTAAAAATTCGAAATTCGTTGAAATTAGGGACACATTTAGAGTAGTATTTATACAACTTTTGGAAGCCTACTCATCTGAGTGGGCGTTGTCGACTATATGATAGAAATAAACCCCTTTTATCTCTTTCTTTGAAGAAAGTGTTAATTAAAGGCTCTTTTTGTGGTATAACAACTGCGTAGGCTTCTAATGAATTTGTAAAGTTTGATCAAAGAACGTTTCTAAATATATTTATTTTTTAATAATAATAACTTTGTCAGTCTCACTGTTAGTTCGAGTTCGTAAATAGAGCCTGAGTAAATGGTTTGAATATTTTTTTTTTATATTTCATCTTGATTAGTAGGCATATTCACACTATATCAACAAATAAAATTACTTATCCAAATTAGTGTCGAAAATCTAAGCTAATATTACCGTAGAAAATTACATTTTCGTAATAGCTGTGCTTGAAATTAAGATTCAAGTTTCGTTTAGTAATTAGTATTTACGTTTCAATCTAATTTAAGAGCTAAGAATTACCTTTTAGTAGTGAAAATGTATAGAATCTTTCGTCAGAAAAAATTGAGGCCTAATTTCAAGTGATTTACTTTTTACGTTGACCAATTGGTCATGAATGAGCATAATTTCAACGGAATATAGTACAGTCTTATTCGACTTATTATATCTGATAGGATACAGCCGCTTCTATAACTTGGGAAACAATCGTGGTTAAGTTTTAAACTACAACGCCATGAATGTTCTTGTAAACTCAACTTGTAAAGTCAACTCTTGTAAGCTCAAACTAATAAATTAAAGCCGTCAAGAAAGAACCGTCCTATTGTGTATCGTAAAATAGCGGCAACGTAGTCGCAAGCCTCCTGGCAAAGGAAGTGTCCATGGGTACTAATATCAAGCGAGCCTCTTGCCCGCTTATTTCATAAAATTAGGAATGGCTGGCGAACTTAATATGTCTAAATATGTATCAGATACATTAAATGTGCAAAGTATAATCCGATAACCCATTACTACTTATCGCATTGAATAAGTAAAAGGTATTTAATGTTCACACAGTTTCATACCGAAATCACCGGTTTATATTGTTTCGTTAATGGAGTCGCCGGCTTAGCGTTTAATGGATAAATGCGATCGCTTTATACATTACTTTTTAAACGGGTTTTGACCTCTTTTTCTATGGTGATCGTCACTCGTGCAGCAGTATTAGGGCTTACCCAATTTTGTTATAGTAAGTTAATTTACTCCTGCTTCAAGCTGCTTACGTGGGTTTCAATCGGCAGCTTATATTTGACCCTCGTGGTCAGCAAGAAAGAATTTGGAGTGGACTATCTGTTTCCACCGGTTTCTGTCCATCCCCTCTGTTATGACAGTGTATACTTTAGAGGACGATGAGTTACTTTCACTTGATCGATCCATCTGACTGGTGAATGGCCACGTGATTACCAACCACGATCAGATTCTTCAAGTTCTCATCGCCTCTGCGCATTGTATGGCCGAAGTAAGATTTACATGATACTGCGGTCCTCTCAGATAGTTATGGTAAGATCACCAGTGGCCAAACCTGCCTAGACAACATTGCGTTTTATCTTTAACCAAATAACCAGCCAAGCCAGAGTTGAAGCCACAGGGACCAAACTTTTTAAATTAGTTTTAATTTTCTTTTTATTATTACTATGAAGGTTAAGAAAATTGCAAATACTGTATATTTGATTGTTATATTTACTAACACAAATTATAAGATAAAATAACAGTGGAATGCATTTTTGCAATAAAAAACGAATCATGTCGTTTCACTCAGGTCTGGAGTCTGTGGACCAATGACCATCAAAACTACGTACCCAAGCTACTTGGTATTCACGCGTTGTAGCGTGGTGGCATTTTAATAAGTTTCTTTATTCACGCACGTTAAAGTTAAATAAAATTAGAACCTAGCTAAAACAAGTTTAAATTTATCTTTCAATATCTTAAATAGCTCGGTATACATCTTACGTGTTTTTTTATTAATCGTAAAAATATTATTGAAACGATAAATAACAGTTTGCTATTGTTTGGGATGGCATCGTAAAAAGGCACAATACGGCGTAAAGGTTTATGATTCACAATTTTCACCTTTGAAATCGACTTTCTTGACTAGTGAATGTTCTTGAAAATTTCATAAGGTTTTGTTGAGTCACGGAACGGAGTCGCAATTATATTAAGTGTTTATATATGAAGTTTTGGAACCCACTACGCTTTACTAACAGCCTTCTGTGTATGATACCACCTGGTTTTCTTCATGGTTCGAACACGGAATACACATAGTAAAATCCATTACTGCTTTTGCTGTCTTAAAGGTCAGTACTCACATACGGTATTACTCGATCGAGCTAAACTGTCGAGTAAAACCCATGGCATGGGCTTTCGTATACACATTGAGCATTGATCTATCGAGTGAGGCGCGCCGTTCAGTATTCACCGAACCGTTCGAGCCAAAGATGTCTGTGCAACAAAGGAGACGGTGGCTGTATTTAGCAAGTCTTACAGTGCTTTATAAGAAAATCAAAGAAAATGAAAAGAAATTTATCATAACATTCATTTCTATTATTTTTGTGGGAGTAATCTTTAGACTTGATATTCCAGTCCACACGTTGATTTTTACTCGACTTCGAGTAAAACTATCGAGTAATACCGTATGTGAGTACTGACCTTTATAAGTAAATCGAGGTCGTATTTGCTTATAATGACAAATGGTCAGAGTCAGGGTGGCTATATAACCAAAGGCCAAGACAAAAGGTTTTAGCCTCACTGTGTATGTTTGTAACTACTAAATATAATAAAAAACCTGCTTTATTATTAAATGTAACCTAATATATATTTAGAGTTAATAGATAAAAAAGTATTTACGTTTTAAATGGAGGTAAACTTCTTCGGGTTTAAGTCACTTAAAAGGTTGACTAAATCATCTCTTAAAAATGTATATATTAGTGAATGTATAATAAAATTTTCATAGTAAAACAGTGACTACAAAGCGTCGTAAATTTTTTCCTTTAAAAGTGCATTTTTTTGCAAACTTAATTTATGTTTAGAGCTATATTTTATGCAAACATTTCTAAATTGAATTTCATATTTTAGATGTAGTATCTAATTAATGCTGTAAGTTGAATTAATGTCTTTAAAATGGACTGTATAGTTTCGATGTTTCTCAGTTTATTTTGTAAGTAATAGAACACATACAATACTAAACTAATTTTCGCGATTTCGTCGTTCTTTTGTTTTGGTATTTTTTTTTAAACATGACCTATCACGTGACGTGAAACCGCCCACTTATGATTACGGAAAATAATTCTTATTTGCGCATTATTAATCAAGATGAGTGTCAAACTATGATACGCTGTCTACAAAAAAGGTAATATAGCACAGCGTCATCAAATCCCACGACAGTCCTCTTTCCGCAGACTCTAGAAGATATTACCGATGAATATTTCCTATATAAAGTTACCCAGAACATAAGATTTTAGACAAACATTTTGTTAGCTTCATATAACAACCACATAGTTATAATCATATGTCAAACTGAAATTATGCTGTTTTGAATAGATCATTGCTATTCATTACATAGAATCAGCTTTTAAAAATAAGTTGGTTGAATGTTCGTTTAGGCTTGATGTAATTAATTTTTTTATCTCAAAACAACATTAATTAATTCTGGAAAAGAAAATCCAATTAAATTTTGGAGTTTGCTAAATTGTTACCATCTTTGATGATCAAACAAACTTATAACTTAGGCGTTTCAGTATTCGGCTAAATCCGGGTTAATATGAACTACAGAATTATGTTTAATTAAAGAAGGTAGTAGCACGTTTCATGATCATATTTTGTCACTCTAATAGGCAAGTAGGTGATCAGCCTCCGGTGCCTTTACGATATTTGGTGCACAGTCGAGGCACAAACCTTCGACTTCAGGGATGAGAAACGGACGCTGAAGCCACCATTATTATCCATAAATGAGTTAATTTCCGTCTTAGCAGTCAAGTTCCTCAAGCCTTCTATTCCGGATCATTTTAGAAATTAATATGAGAGAGGTAATTACAAATAACATTAACGCTTTGTTAAACTCAAACATGTTTTACAACAAAATATTTGAACATGGATTTCAATACGAGCAGGTATTTTGTTTGCGTTTGACCGTAAAATAATACGTTCTATTTGTACTGTACAAAGGTTGCTTTGAATGTGTCCAGATTGAAAAGTGATTGATATTGAAGTACTAACAAAAACAGACATTTGAGACTAGATTTGAATTAATAGTTGTAAATATTTATTGTATTTGTGAAACACTGAGAGTAATATTCATTCGTTACAGATATTTCTTTATTTAACAAAATAAAAATATCAACAATCCATTAAGGGTTGTAGCACGAGAAAATATTGTTATTTTTAAATATGCAGGGTTTTTTTTAGTTTCTAATCTCCGAGACATTTAAATGATTTAAATACTTATCTAGATATCTCTACGAAAACTCGCGAGTTGGCGTAGGCTTTTCTCCAATAATATTTCTAATATTTATTTAAGTTCTAAAACAACGTGTATGCATAAAGTTATACAAGAATATATGAGATCACAAATTTTACACACACACATCAATTATATTAGAACATACTTGTAAGCTAGCAAGGAAAAAATTAAACAAGCAACAAAAATTCAAAATTCAAAAATCATTTATTCACGTAGGTAACACAATGTACACTTGTGATTCGTCATTAAAGAAATAAATATTCATGCTTCTAATTTTACATTTACTGCCAGTTCTCAAATCAAGGGCGTAGAACGGAAGAGAAGAACTGGCAATAAACTCTCCGCCACTCTTTTTAATCGCCATGTTTTTTTTTTTTTACACAACGTTTGTAAGGAGCTGCAACCATTACACCATGTTCCACATGACATTTTAAGTAATTAATAATAATAACATAAATAAAAACAAAGACTTGTCCCCTATCAGCAGGAGGCATGGTGAAATAGGAGCACGCACTTACATTCTCGTGGGAACAACACGCAAACACATAGTCGAAATAATTAACATCACCGCATACACGAATTCAAGTACGACCAGTCACCACAAGTAGCACCCGTTCACGAGTATGACGCATGGCCAGCCATCGGCCCCCTCGCCATATTTTAGGGAGAGAGACAACCCGACGCATGGACGCCGCCACAAGCAATGACATTTAAGCGAGCATGACGATCCTTGAAATGTGGACTTGGCTACATAAGAAAATAATAATAATACTGAAATAATTGGATACCACATGGATCACGGTTTGTTCCCACTAAACACGGTTTGTTCACACACAACCACAAAATAAAAGAACAAAAAAATAATAATAACTTAAACCAAATAGAAACGTAAATCTCATTAAGAGCATGATAAATAAAGTTACGATGAGTTGGAAGATTATTGTAAAATATATCAATATTTTCATAGTAATTAGAAGAGCGAGATAGCCTAATATTTAAAGGCAAGTGGCCCGCCGTCTCGCGACTCCCGTATCTACGCTTTTGTTTTTGACTAATTCGTTTTACAATTCTATAGCCAAAATCTTCCAGTTCTTTCAGCTCCTTAATATTTCGAATACCTATACGGCCTTTATATAGCATCTGGAGTATCCAAATACTAGACATTCTATGATGAAATGCGATGTCTGACTAGTATATTGAGTGAAGTCGGTTCTGATTGCAGGTAAAAGCAAGCAAAGTATTCAGTACATGTCCCATGTCACGTGATATATTATGTAAATCTAAATCCATGGTAACATAATCTGTACACTCGAGCTTTATATAAAGCGTAATCTTTTTGCAGCCGGAATTGTACAAGAATGAACTGGTTCGCCAATCATCAACAGACAGTGCTGAACTTGAATTCTGTGGTAAACTGCACTTCGCGCTGAAGTACGATCAGGAGGTGGAAGCGCTGGTTGTCAAGGTAATATATGTAGCTATAAAAATAACATATAAAATAATTGCATGATTTTATCCCTCTCGCAAAAGTTGTAAAACAAGAGTGATTAATTTCCTATCGTAACATTACGTATGAAAAAGATATTTAGTGTTTTGTCCAGCACTTTTATAAAGCTTTTTTTTTCATTTACATTATGTATCAGAACAAGGTATTTTTGTTAAGGATTACTTTACTAGTTGGACCTCCTTCATTGTTTGACTTTTGCATGTTTCTTTCTTAAGTATTTTATTTATTTATTTCGTCATCCTACACGGATCGAATACATAATATTTACAAAAACTTGGAAACTTTTATACATGGAAAAAATCTTAAAAAAAATAGTAAATACACTTCACTAAGTCGGCTGTGTTGCGTAATGGTGTGACAGTGAGGGTGTGTATGTGGGGTGTGCTCACGTTATTTAACGCTATGGATATTTTTACTACTTTTAAACATATTCCGGGATAGCTTAAACAAGTCGAGGTTTAAAATATAGTGGTCGTTGTATTTCCAATGTTTATTCACACAATAACCTTATCATTTCAACTAAACATTTCGCCACACATTTCCTCTTCATATCAATAACGTATGGCTTACCTTACGGGTCTTAATGTATTAAGCGTTATAGGGGATATTGTGTAGAGTTAATAGCTTCAAACAACGTGCTAGACGATAGCCTTCAGTAAAGATCACCATCTATGTGTCATATAAATCGATAACACAATATCTATATGATTTAGGATAGTCTACGGCTTAAAATTTGTAATTAATATGATGCCTAAAATCTACGACAACTTTCAGGCAAAGCCTGATCATCTAATATATAAAATTCTCGTGTCACAGTTTTCGTTGCCATACTCCTCCAAAACGGCTCGACCGATTCTCATGAAATTTTGTGTGCATATTGGGTATGTCTGAGAATCGGACAACATGTATTTTTCATCCCCCTAAATGTTAAGGGTAGTCCACCCCTAAATATTTTATTTTTATTTTTAGATATTTTTCTGTTTTTATTTTTTTATGATACAGCATTAAAAAATACATACAACTCCTAACTTTCACCCCTCTACGATCAACCCCTATTTTTTTATTATAAATGATATATATGGCAAAACGACGTTTGCCCGGTCAGCTAGTAGTCTATAAAATTAAAAACATTAAAGAAATAGGAATAAATCCGAGTCCAAGACCAATATAGAGGAGTTATTATCATTTTAGTACCGAATAAAGCCTCAAATAATTGATTGTTTCATCAAACTTAGAAAGTGATTGAACAGTAATCCTATTTATCGCTTAGTTTCGACACTTGACGCAATATTGCCTATAAACCTGCCAAGCGCCCACGCCCACCTTCAATAAAACTTTTCTTCGTGGTAATTATTATTATATAAATAGTTATAGTTTTGCTAGGGAATGAAAGTTACTTTTTATCTTCAATACTTAGTGTATGATAATTCGTAATAATATTTTTTGTTTAAATTTGGCGTAGATATAATGTAAATAAATAAATAAATAATCTGGAGGTTCCGGATTCGATTGTTGAAAAAGAGTTGTTTATTACTCAACTGAATATTAAAGGTTTAAAATATTAATGAATAGTTAATGTTAACTTAACTAATGGGGTAATTACGTCGTGACTAGTTACTTCAATAGATAGATAGCTTTAATTATTTATGAACTGATAGAAATTGAAGGATGGAGATGAATAATGTAGAACTCTAAGAATGGTTGAGTCTATGAATTCATTACTGAAGGATTATCTGCTTACTCGTGTAATCATCAGCAGCTGCGTACGTTGGCTTTACTTGCAGACTTTAAACCCTGTTTATTTTGAAGAAAGAAGAACTATATTTTTATTTTATGTCTTGTACTTTAATTCACTATATATAAAATGAAATTATATAAATATTATTTGATTTTCTTCGACAAAAACGCTGCACGTCTTCGTGACGATAATATTGTTATTATTGCTTTTCATCCGTAAAATTTTACCCTCATGCGCCTAAAGAAGTTTCACTTCAAAACATTAAGTTTTTGTATATCTGACTTGATAGATAATAAATGGGCGGTGCGAGATTTTTTTTTTTAAATTTATTTTATTGAAAATAGAGTTGGTCCTCACTGCTCGAAAGTAAGAAAGGATTGAAGTGTTTCTTGTGTTCCTCTTTAAAAGAAAGATCACTTGACTTAAAACATTAGGTAAATCTACCAAGTTATTTAAAATTTTGTAAACAAATATAATGTCGATAAGGCGGCGTCTATCGCGGAGTGATTGCAAGTGAAAGAAAGCTAATCTTTTTTCATACTCGCATTTATAGCTAATGTTTTTATTTAATCGGCATAGATGTTTGGAGAAATGGCCGTTAATTCGTTCGATTCTGTCAAATTTAGTTTCACATTAAGGTATAATGCACACTACGAACTTTGTATGTTTTCTAAGGACACATTTATCTTTGGTCTAATTTATGTACAGTAAACAAGTAGCCATTAACAACTACAATATGCATAGATTATATGTATGTCCTCTATGGTTGGTTAAAAAAATATTTATAAAACTGTTTCTTTAGATATTCGAGGCCCGTGACCTGCCTATTAAGGATGTAACCGGAAGTAGCGACCCGTACATAAAAGTCTTCCTTCTGCCAGACCGGAAAAAGAAATTCCAGACTAAAGTCCACCGGAAGAACCTCAACCCTGTCTTTAACGAGACGTTTTTGTTCAGGTAATTAAACTTAATTGTTGTTAGTTAATTGTGGGTTCGTTTGAGTGAATTTCGGTCAACCCCAATTAGTTTTAAGACAACAAACTATTTTATAATAAATCGTGTTTATTTATTTTGAATGAATGTTGTTTGGGAAAACATCGGGCAGTTTTATAATTTAATTTTTTTTCTTTTTAAACCTTGTTTGTTTCTAATGCCAAAAGAGCTTAGTTAAACTTACAACATATGATCATGATATGAATCATGGTGCGCTCCAGCTTCTCCAGGTACCTCAATAGTGGTAGTTCTCGCCAACCACTTTGGGTGATGATAAGTGGTAATAAAATTTTTCTGGAAAATATGAAAAGATGATAGATATGTTTAAAAAAAAAGATTAAAGATAACAGACGGTGATTGGTCCACAGCATCGCATTCTAATCACAGATATACGACATGATCCCTTTTACGTTATTAACATGCTGCTTAGTCAAGATTGGTCTAGAAACGCGGTCACAGGAAGGCTAAATTAGCCTCTAAGAAGTTTGGTGTGCTCAGCAAGGCGAGACGGTACTTCAGTCCGGGCCACCGCTTTCAACTCTATAAAAGAAAAATTGGTCCCACATGGAGTATTCTCCCGCTCCCCAGTACCAGCTCTTTCCACTTGACCGTATTCAAAGAGAGCGGTTCGAATTGTCGACTGCCAGTCATTTTCCGAGTGACTTGATCCCTTGGGGTTGCGTAGAGATTTTGCGTGTCTCTGCATCTTCTACTGCATTCACCACGGAGAGTATTCAAAGGAGTTGTTCGGATTTATTCCTGCAGCTGAGTTTCATCATCGGATGTCGAGGCAGAATACGAAATTCCATACTTATCAACTGGACGTACTTCCACAACTGAGCGTTTTAAATGCAGTTTTTGCCGCGCACCACCGCTATGTAGATCCAGCTGCCTGCCGATGTATTTCCGAAGCAATTTGACTAAGGCTCCTTCTAGAAAAGAGCGTACCTTCTTAAAAGGCCGGCAACTCACATGCCAGCCCTCTGGCAATGTCTATGGGCGGCGGTATCACTTAACATCTGGTGAGACTCTTACTCGCTACTAAAGTGCATTCCACCCTCCATTAGTTTAATAAAACTCACTTCTAACTTTGTTTAAAATAAATTTAAAACCCGATGGTTTTAATCTCGTTAGAAAAGCTCAGATTAAACTCGAGAGATAAAAAATAGTGCAACGAACAATTAGATCTAAGGAAGCTGGGTGCTAATCGCTGAAGATTCAGGAGATTATAGTAATCTTAGTTTAATGGCATTTTATCGTGATGAGTTTTAAGAGAGTACTCGGTATTTAGAATCGGGATTACGTTTTTAATTTAATAATTACTTAATAGATCTGTAGAAGTTGTCTTTTAAAGAGATAGATTTAATTCGCGTTTATATAGACCTCAACCTTATACTTCAAATTATGGTCAGTTTTAGAGAACATGGCCAGCTCTTAAGGATACGGTGACGGTCTCTTAAAAAATCTTTAGAGCAAGCAGTGGCGAAATTTCCCTTGGAAACAGTGCGTAAATCCATAGATTCGTGGCCAAACAGATTAAAGGCCTGTCTGTATAAAGGCCAAAGGTAGCCATTTCGAATAGAATATTTTTTTATTTTTTGCTGAGACTTTAATAAACATGTAGATTGTAGCCTGTATCAATTTTAATAATATTACATTATTAAAAAAATAAATGCATTATCATTTGTAACAGAACTTATGGCCAGACTAGTTACTTAGACGATCTTCAATTGTTTTTTTTTATTTTACTAGTCGTAGATTTTGGCTACTTTAAATCGATGATTCTGTGACATTATCTCTCAAATGAGGTAATATATGTCCCCTCGATAGGGCAGAGAACGACCAGTGAATGTTTTATCTTGCCGGCTCTCTTCGTCTCATCTGCAATTGTACCTCAAGGTTTGTTTGGAACGTGCTTTCACATCCTTTGACAATTCTTATGCCACTTATATCCCTGAAGTTTTTTTCGGAGTAACTAAATAAAAAGATATCTTGAAATCACATAAACGGCATAACAATGTGTACAGCGGCAATGACTTAAACAGACAGGGTAAAAGTCTTAAATCTTAATTTAAATATTTTGGATGTTCACCTGTTTTTCATACAGTTCAATCAAAGCCTAAGCTTACAGGGACGAGTCTTAGCCGTAAATATGACTATCGTATGACCAAATGGATGACGCAATGGATTTTACAAACAGGAGCTATAGCATCGGAATCCGGTTATTTCAAGCTTAATTAATGATAAGCCTAACTTTGCTTAAACTCAAAATAACCTACCACGAACCGCATCGCCAATTTAGGCGAGTTCCGATTTACTTCATTAAAAGTTCGCTTTGATGTACGAATTGGATTATGAAATGCAGTGCCATTTTTCTATCCGGGCTTATTGGGAATGGACTTAAAAATGGACGCATACTTTCGCTAACGAGTGAGTCTCCAACTTTATTAAATCCATGGACAATTCGTTTGAAATAAATATTTTATTCATTTATTTATTAAGACGTTATCTTAAAAGTCAAAGTCAAAAATCATTTATGCTTGTAGGTAACACAATGTACACTTATGAACGTCAAGAAAAAAATATACATTAAATGCTTCTAATTTTACATTTACTGCCAGTTCTCAAATCAAGGGCGTAGAACGGAAGAGAAGAACTGGCAATAAACTATAAATAAAAATAAATAAATTGTAACATATTTAAAAACAGGTTATTTGAGATTTATAAAAATATTTACGAACTTACGATAGTCTCTTTTAGTTGATTTTAGATAGATAGATAGTTACGATTGATTTACGATCCAATTGTGTAAAGAAATAGTATACTCCTCAAAAACCCGCAAGCTCCCACTAAAATAGGTGTCTCTGGGCTGCGATGAAAGTCCAGAATGGGCGTGCCTTAGGCCCCTTTGCCTATCCAATAAAAATTAAGTTTATACTCTATCATATCGTTACATACGGTTGTATAGTTAATTATTATTCGTACGGTATGGTCATTCTTTAAGTTCCAAATCAACGTTCACTAAACATCTGTCGTAATTTTCCTATTATATATAGATTTTGCCACAAAACTAATTACATATATATTTAAAGGAAACTATTTTTTACCGGAATAAAGTTATGTATTTATGAATTAGAAATTTACAATTATTTTACATAATTTTAAATTTAACCGATGTTTCGCGTGCTTTACAGAGTGCGTGGTCACGGTGACTGAAGACAAAAGGAGTGTCAAAAAGTATCACCGCTGTAGAAAAAGTTGTATTATCTATAATTATTTCCCAGGAGTTGGTATCGACTAAAAGATGGAGGGTTTTGCCAGAAATGGCTCACGGTGTCCACTATTTTTGCGGATTGTTTATCCTGAGATTTTAATTGGGATATTATTGGATCCCAGGTGTTTGACAATTTTAGGCCGTCTTCTCTATTGAAATTGGGGTGTTTTTTGAATTTTTTGTTTCCATAATTATGTATTAATTTGTTGTAGCGTCCCCTACGAAGACCTTCGACAACGCTACCTACAATTCTCCGTGTATGACTTCGACCGGTTCAGCCGACACGACCTCATCGGTCATGTGGTGCTGAAAGGTCTACTCGAGTCTGCAGACCTGACCCAAGAGATTGAGTACACTATGAACATCTTGGCTCCACCACAGGTAATATTAATAAGTATTCAAGAGTATGAATGCAAGAAGTTTTCTGTTATTTGCAAATAGACTAACATTTGAATGATTCATATTAAAATACTTTTGTTTAAATGTTTCGATACGCTGTGAATAAGCAAAATAACTACTGTATATAAGATTTTGGCCTTTTTTGTGTAAAATAATAATACAAATATATCGCATTATGATTTACAAAACAATTATATAAACAAATTAATACATACTAAACAATTAAAAAGCTGAAGCAGTATTGGCCTAGTGGTTTCAACGTGAGATCCCTGGGGGCGTAGCTTCGATCACCGGATCAATGAAATTTCTGGATTTAAAACTGGCTCGTACGGTGAAGGAAAATATCGAGAGGAAACCGCCATGCTTTAGACTTAAAAATTCGTATGTGTGCCAGGCACAAAAGGATCACTTACTTGCCTATTAGAAATGATCTCGGAACAGATAGAGAAATCTGAGGCCCAGACCTAAAAGGTTGTCCCGCTATTGATGTATAAACAATTAAAAATGGTTAGAAAGTGCTTTTTCTTGATTTATATGAAGTTATAAGCCATGTAACAGATTACTCTGTCGGGGATATAATGTAAGATAACTTCCGTCCCGTGTAAAAGGATATTTTGATCAAAATATTCGTAATTCTACAAAAATAAGTTAGGAAACTTTTTACAACACCCAAACTCAATAAGCGTTTTCCTTACTTTTTTGTTTTAAGTCTTCTTTCACTGTTTTTGGGTAATTCATAAAGTTTTACCTTGTTAGTAAGCTTTGGTTATAAATGGAAAGTTGGATTACACTTTAGAATAAACTATGAATTTGTTAGTTAATTATTGTCAACTAGTAACTGACCCAGTGGCCATAAATCCAAAAACAATATAAGCAAATTTCAACCAAACATATTATAAAACTATTATACTATAAAGTCTAATATATAAAATTCTCGTGTCACAGTTTTCGTTGTCATACTCCTCCAAAACGGCTCGACCGATTCTCATGAAATTTTGTGTGCATATTGGGTATGTCTGAGAATCGGAAAACATCTATTTTTCATCCCCCTAAATGTTAAGGGTAGTCCACCCCTAAATATTTTTTTTTATTTTTAGATATTTTTTTCTGTTTTTATTTTTTTATGATACAGCATTAAAAAATACATACAAACCCCTAACTTTCACCCCTCTACGATCAACCCCTATTTTGCCCGGTCAGCTAGTTATTTTATAAAATTAACATACAAATTTTTTGCTATCCATTAATCATCTGTAAGTACATTTTTAAATGTTTACCAAAAACAGACAAAGTTCGCTCTCCGGTGAAGATTAACAATATAATATAGTTGTAACCATGAATATCTAGATGATAGACCAGATCTATCATTGGATATGTGTATATCTCGTTTCATGTAAATAACTTCACAATAAAAACAAATTTGCTCTAAGTAAAAACTTCTATACAATTTTGACTTCAATGGAATTTGATTTTCAGTTTTTCATTTAACGAGTATGTTCAGAAAATTTACTTAGTGTCAGTTATGTACCTATTTATGAACGACTAAGTACTTCTGTAAGTGCATTATACTTTTTCTTCCTTTGGTAATAGCACAACAACAGGTCGATGTCAGCATGCGCATAATATCTTGCGCACATTCTTTGTATTTCAAAACTGATTGTTTAGTTGAGCTTTTGTTATATATGCAAATAAGATCCATGGGATAGAATTTTTAGCCTCTTTTTAAGGTGTTACAGCCGTATTAACCCAGTAGTGTTTATGTGTGTGTGTCTAATCTTATGGGAAAATACTAAATGAATTCATATACCTTTCAATATTATTTACTTTAGTAAATATATTATATAAAAAGGGTTGGCCTAGTGGCTTCGATTGATCTCCGGCTGTGCACCAATGGACTTTCTTTCTATGTGCGCATTTAACATTCGCTCGAACGGTGAAGGAAAACATCGGGAGGAAACCGGCTTGACTTAGACGAAAAAAGTCGACGGCGTGTGACAAGCACAGGAGGCTGATCACCTACTTGCATATTAAATTGACAAACAATCATGAAACAGAAATCTGTAACATAATATGTGTTTGCTTGAAATGCATGGTTAGGGATATTTCTTAAAAACTACTGTCATTTTGGAGTGTTCCCTTAGTTGGAATATCTGTAGATTTAAATTAAATCATCTTCTCAGACTTCTAGTTTTTCTCAGATTTTAGAAAAAATACATACATAGATATGTAGGACACGTGCTGAAAATGAATATTTATAATCAAATATTGTGTGATTAATCATAAGTGATTGACGAATCAGGCGCAGAAATGTGTCTATGCGATAGCGCCTTTAAAAGTCCTTAAAAACATATTTCATTTTTCTGAAACCCGAAACAGGGAAAACTTGATACATTTCCATAATATTAAATTCAACGTTGAGAGCTCTCAACAGCTTTCAAGGTAATTGAACGCAAACGGTATCTCGAATCTTTCCACATTTTTAAGTTGAATTTCTAACGTCAAGCTTAAGCAAGATTAAGCTTAGTTTATTAGTAAGGTCTATTCAGGCCGTAATCTTTGGTTATGTCGGTCCCAAATCTCGTGGACTGCGATAAATATGGTGCGTACGTTACGAACACTAACGTACAGTTTCTTTATGTGTTGGTATGTTCTCGATGCTGTACCATGACAATGTACTGATGCCTAAATGGAATTTATGACTTCCATATTATGTCGAATTCGATTTTGTATCTTACTTTGAATATTTCTTAATATTCAACAATTGAATTGTGCACTTAAACAACTTAAATGATAGGTTTAAGGAAGAAAGAAGAACATTTTTAACGAAACACAGTAAGTAAATTTTCAAAACATAATGAAAACTAAAATTTAAATTCCAAATAATTTTCATAAATTTTGGAATAGCCTCGTAACTTTAATTTGTTTCAATAATTTTATAAAGGGTTAGAAACAATCACAAAAAGTACTTAATTTCATCTTTGATTGTTTAAAGTTTGAGGTGAGGTGAGGTATCTTTGTATAACGTGATCTAAACAGACGGTTAGTTCATGGAATCAGGTAGTGAAAACTTCGTTAAAGGATTTCATAAATTAACCGTAGATGAAATTGGAAGTTGAAACAGCAATTGGGAATTAAAGTTCGTGGCAGATCCCAACCATTTATCTCAATCAAGCATAAGAGATAATAGACAGTTATGGACGGACGTTAATTACATATAAACTCAAAACTCAAAATAACTTTATTCATATACGTAAACAATGTACTTGTACTAATAAACTTCGTTTTCTAATATATTATTTGGTAAACGACTATAAACCCTTAACATTTATTGCCTGTACTTACAAAAATAGCTAGTTTTTAAGTGCCAAACAAAACGTTTGGTACAAAAGTACTTAAAAATTCTTTGTTCCAGGAGAAAAAGGACCTTGGAGAGCTCATGCTATCTCTTTGCTATTTGCCTACTGCAGGCCGACTGACTGTCACTGTTATCAAAGGAAGGAATCTTAAAGCCATGGACATTAATGGATCTTCTGGTAAGCCTTCGACCCTTATCAATAAAGATTATAAATTTCTTACATTATTGTACAAATAATACTTCATTGTTAGATAGAAATAGTCCTGAATGAGTTCATTTTTGCATTTTTAATACATATAATAATATCGTACGCTGAAACAGGAGTTTTAGCCTAGCCTAGTAATTAGCGTTCCCTATCCTAAGGTCATGCGTTCAAATCCCAGCTGTGTACCAATGGAGACTTTTTCACACCCGATGAAGATCTTGACGAAACCATTTCTGATTCAAATGTAAGACGCATTTGTCTACAGCTGATCCAAACCATAGCGCTTACTATTTTTATTATTACTAATAAACATATCATCATCATCATAATCAGTCTCTTTTTATTATCCATTTCTAGACGTAAGCTTCCTCCATCTTCCTCCAGGACGCCCTGCGCTGTCCTCTCTACATCTACAGGGAGCCAACCTCCTTGGCTCATCATTCCACCTAGTCGGTAGGCGGCCGCGCGGCCTTTTGTTCTGCCGAGGTCTCCAATCAAGGAGCCTGGGAGTCCATCGGTTCTTGTCAATGCGCGCTATGTGGCCTGCTCACCACTTAGATGTCGTGGCAGCTCTTGTAATCTGTCATTTGTTGACAACGACCTGATATTGTATGTACGTACAGAGGGTTACGGCAGTTTGTTGTTGTTGGAATTACTTGTCGCACGCCTACTCTGTCCCACCCGGCCACGGGTCGAACTGGAGAGTGACATGGCGCTGGTAACTCGGGGTTGATATTGTGTTTGTACTCTCATAGTGTTTGGTGGAGAAGAAAAAACAGCGGTTTGGCAATAACAGTACGACAACCATTGGATGCTGTTGTGAATCTATCTCTCAGCTGTTCTCCTCCCAACGATGAGACGCTAGCACGTTGCTTCGCAATGTGGGGCTATCGTAGATATTGGGGCATTTCCTGAGAGTACTTGAGCCACCAGATACTCCACCACTCTCCGACAGCCCTTCCCACATTTATATTATATTTCTGTAGGAAAGCACATTAAGGGGAATATGAATTTTATTGTTCTGGGACTGACAAATTTGCGGGACTACGTTATTGAATGGAATTTCTATTCACAAATAATATGCACGCGTGAAATATGTCGAAAATTTAGTAGCATTAATTGTAATTGTAAATTAATTGCTTATTAAAGTGTCTTGGTTTTAGTGCTATTTGTTGTTTGTATTGTTATATATAATTAGTTAATAAATAAATATCTTCTGCGTCCATAGCCAGTCTCTATTAGATAGGTGACATGGTTAAATCAGTCTGGAGACCGTAAATGGCTTCAAAACGTCGAGTTATATTTCGCGTCTTATATCTATTAAAGAAATGAAATTGTAGGTAACGAGTCCTTTGTCAGAGAACAATTTATTTTTATACATCATTCGTGATATAACATTTCAATGCTGTTAACATATGAAGGTCGTACAAGAATAATATTTTTTTCCTTTACCCTTGACTGTATTATTTTAATATTATTTATTTACTGATTGATATGTTTATTTAATTAGAGGCTAGTTACAACTCAATGATTTTCATTTGTTGAGAATTTGTGTTTCGTATGGACTTTATTAAATAAAGTACAAATCTTAATATATATAAATTACGTGTCACGTTGTTTGTCCGCTATGGACTCCTAAACTACCGAACCGATTTCAATCAAATTTGCACACCGTGTCCACTGTGCAGTTTGATCTAACTTAAAAGATAGGATAGCTTACATCTCAATTTATACCCGCAATATTATTTTATTGCAAATATTTGTTTATTATTTGATAGTCACAAATCTAACAGATGGCGCTGTGTTAAAAGTTCCAACGTTTTAAATAAGCTACAATTTAATGGCATTACCACCAAAAAAGCATGGTGGTCCCCATGACTGGTGTTCTCCTACCATTTCCCTTGAATAGGTTACTACTATGTAATATAGGATTAATAGATTTCTAGTAATTCCTGTTATTTCAATTAATTTAAAATAAAAATATCACTTACCTATTACACCAAATAAGGGTTCATAGTCGCACGCTGAAATAACTAGGCCAGCGCTGTACTACGAATCGGAATATCATTTAATACTTTTAGTGCATTTTGGAGCTGTGGAGTGGAGTTTGAAACACGCTATAGGATAAATGTGATTGCAAATAAAAGACAATATCATCCTTGACCCATTTTTCTTAGGAAATGCTAACTTTGATTCAACCTTGCCCAAGGAAACGTGATTTCGTTATCAAAACGTTTCAATTGCCTACTTTTAAATGAAATTAATTGAAGTTTGTTGTCTGGTTTTTTATTTCTTTATATGTTTTATGTATAAAAATGCTTAAATTTGTTTTACTGTTTGTTTGAATTTAATTTCTCACATAAACCATGTTACACGTTAGTGTTTTTTGTTAGAGTTTCCTTTGAAGTTTCGTGTTAGTGGTTGCCTGGAAGAGATCGCTCGAAAGCGATTAGGCCGCCAGTTGCCCTCCTTTTTATGTAATTATAAAAATAAATATATATTAATTGAACTGTATTCATGTATTACTGCAACGAAGTGTAAATAAATACATAACCCACTTATAAAAACTAAATCATTCTAATTGCATAGTAATAGAAGAAGTTTGTTCTGTCTCTTTTCAAAGACAGAACTCACTCTTTACTCAGTTTTAATAAATAAGGGAATTATATATATATAATTCAAACTCTTTTTGTTTCAGACCCCTATGTGAAAATCTGTCTCATCTGTCAAGGGAAACGAATAAAGAAAAAGAAAACTACCGTCAAAAAGAACACACTAAACCCCGTTTACAACGAGGCGCTTGTTTTTGATCTACCCGCAGAAAATGTCTACGATGTCACACTGCTCATAAAAGTCATTGATTATGATTTGTGAGTACCTTTTAGCTCTTAATCGTTTTTAAATATTTAATATACATATTATATATCTAGATAGCGGCGTATCACAGTTGAAAGCAGTCCAGTAGTTTTGAAGTGTATTAATCACAAACATACAAATCTTAGTACAGATAATCACATGATCAGTTCTCCTCTAGCATCTCTCATTCTCTATGCGTATAGAAAAGCTCAATAAGTTCTTCTTCCTTGAATAAATAAATAAATATTATTCAACAGAATCGGACAAAACGAATTAATCGGCTGCACAGCAATTGGTTCCAACATGATCGGCATTGGTCGTGATCACTGGTTGGAGATGTTGGATAACGCTCGGAAACCAGTCGCACAGTGGTACCCATTAAACAAAAGCCTTCCCACCAACGTCCCAGTCTCGACCAAGGACCATAAGGACCAGAATGCCGCTTTGAACTGTTTAAATGTAAGGTAAGGTAATTTAATTAACTGTTTTGCTTTAAAAAAGTAAAATAAATATTTGTGTGTTATAACAACAGATATAAATTTTTAATTGAAAACGATTATAATGTATGACTTTTCAACTGGACTTTGAACCTATCCGTTCTTTAAATGTTAACTTACGATTTTATGTTTCAATTTTAAATTAAAAAATAACGAACATTTAATTGAAAAATATCGTGGTCAGAGTTCTAAGCTCTTTTATAAAAAACTTAACAGTTAACTTAATAGTTATGAAGCTTCCCTGTCACAGGGCTTTGATTTACTAGGGAGGCCTCAATCTGAATTCTATGTACAATAGCTAAACAAATCAAGAATTTTGAATTTTTGAATAGTTAATTCCATATTCCAGATTTTTTCAATTATTTTAATTATTTTTAAAACTACCTATCCCAATTTTTCTTAACGCACCGCATTACGCAACTCTTACTCTGCGTAAGGTGTGTTCAGAACACAGTACTTTAACCGTTTATTAAATGGTGGACGGTGAACGGATATATATTGAGCAGCCTATTTTAGGTATTGTAGATGTATCTGCCTGCATATTGTGTCTTGCGAAGTCAGTCCTTACTGTGTCCTTACCGACGATTTATTTCCAACACACAAATATATAGTATTTACAGTTTTCTTAACATACATATTAATAATAATAATTAAAAATTAATAAATAGAAAATTAAAACATATTTAAAATCTTTGGTCCCTGTCTGCTGTCCCTTTGATATTTCCTCGCAGTATTGCGCTACTTATTCGTTGAACGAGGAAAGAACCAGCTCTGGGGTCTACCAGGCGCCAACTTAAATATTTATTTAGCGCCTGTGCACTTGAAGCCCACGGCTCAAAAGCCTCTACTCCAAAGGGATCAAAATCGAAGTTGGAGGAAATACGATATTTGAGCCGTTTATTAATTTCCGCCTGCGGGCCGCGACAGCTCTTTTGCTTGTCCGAGGAAGAAGGGGCTAACGTGTCCACATTACATATTATTATAAAGCTGAGTTGTTTATATATAAAAAAATATGTTTTAGAAATTGGTAGTGCATGGCACAAAGTTGGAGTAAAATGAAATCGAGCTTTGAAAGCGAAGACAAACTTGAACTATTTTCAAGCTGTCTCACCTTTTCATGAAATGAAAATAAATGATGATTACTCCATTGAGTGAGATAGAATCGAAAACTTTCAGGTTTAACGGATGTAATTTAAAGACATTATCTAAAACTCTCTTTGGAATTGGGTTTGTGAAGAAAGTCATATCTAGAAGCGGGATGGATATTTCTTTTATGTTATTTCTGGCACACCAATAAGTCTTTATTTATATTCTTATAAATGATTCATATGTGAGGGGTAGGTTCAGTTTGTAATTCAAAAAATTCAATAAAGAAATACATGTTAAAAGCTTTTAATTTTACATTTACTGCCAGTTCTCAAATCAAGGGCGCAGAACGGACTCTCCGCCACTCTTTTTAATCGCCAAGTTTTGCGACAGTATGCGACTCTCATCCCTGAGGTCGTAGGTTCGATCCCCGGCTATGCACCAAAGGACTTTCTTTCTATGTGCGCATTTAACATTTGCTCGAACGGTGAAGGAAAACATCGAGAGGAAACCGGATTGCTATAGACCCAAAAAGACGACGGCGTGTGTCAGGCACATTGGCTGATCACTTACTTGTATAATTGGCAAATGATCATGAAACTGATAAAGAAATCTAAAAAGGTTGCATCGCCACTGATTTATTTACATTAAAGCAAACTAAAGTGTAATTGTTTTTTTCAGATGAAGAGACTCCCAAACAAATGATCGCCAGGTATGTCAAACGAAATCAGGTAATCTCGCGATGCCAAAAGATTTGTGTAATTAGTGGTCTTAACGGTTGTATGTCCATTTACTGTAGAGATTCTAGTGATATTCTTGTAACGAGATAAAAATGATTAATTATATTGTTATATAAATTGGACGTAGATTGAGTACTAAAGGATGCACCCGAGAATCTGTAGTGACAAATTGATTCACATACCAGCGATAACATGCTTACTATTAAGAGGCGAAAGTTCTATCTTTCGTCTCTGTTTTTCATATACTATAAACAAATAAATAGTTTTGCTTTAACTTCATTATTTCACGATAGTAAAAGTAATTAATTGTATGTGTATTATAAAATGAAATGGTATGTATATATGTGTCAATACGGATGTTAAGAGACCAATGTAAGCTTTTTCAAAACCGAATCTCATGGTATTTAATTAACGTGAATGTGATGATTATGGTGACGAAGTTTTATTCTAATATACTCCTCAATATTATCTATAAATTTGCTGTATATCCTTATATATTATACACATCAAATTTAAATATATATTACTATAAACAAGTAAACACAAGATTTTTGAACTCGTTTAAATTGTGATACAGAGTTTAATTCCGTAAATTATATAACCTTAATAATTATACGCAATGATTATTACAATTTTATGAAGGTCTTAAGTAAGCCTTTGTTGTCTTACAGGAAAATGTTTTGAACATAGAAATTGATCAATGTATGTGAAAGTGGTGGTGTGCATATCAATTTATTGTTGGGGATAATAATTTTTAGCCCACAGAGAAGGATGCTATTATAATATTCTAAATATATGTTGTTTTCTTGGCCAGTGCCAAAACTTAGTCCACTGGTTTTTAAACGTGAAATCTCCATCCTTGCTTGCTTATAACCGCTCTCTTAGTCTTGTGGTATAAGAATAATAATAGTCATTTTTATCTCGAAACCCTACGAGTAGATATAATGTTATTGTAGACGGAGTTTCCATTAGATTTCTTTGAAATATAACCAATATTTTGATGTACGTAGCTATGTGTTAGATATATTATCATTGTCATCCCTATTTCTTTACTTTTTCTGTCTTAAAAATTGGGTTAGTTAGCATTAACTTTAGATTTATTGATACATACATATCTATGACATTAGAAAGAGATTTGTGACATAGCATTTTAGTTTAGGTACGTGAACAAGATGGCGCGTGTCCACAGACTATAAAACCATAGATTAAAATTCTACTCCACAGTATATTTTTCGATTAACTCAATACTTTAACTAAGTGATACAACTTGTTGCATTACCTGTAGCACGTGGCAATCTAACCCAATTGTTGAGATTACTTAACCATTTCTACCATTTTCTATATTTATAAACTTTGTAAACTATGTACAAACGCACATTTCAAATGAAGACTATGTATTAACTATAATTATCATTGTTGTCTATCAAATGTTATAAGTCTATTCATATCAAATGTATAATAAAAATTAATATAATTGTATTATATTTTAGACAGAGTACGGGTTCTACCCGAATGTCAAATCTAATAATTTCTTGTAATACACTTACCAAAATCTTGACTCTAAATCTTACCCTAAGGTTTCTTAGAGAAGAAAGAACCACTATTGTATCGTTTCCTTGATGTTTTATCTACTGCGATACATTGCCACAGAATAAAGATTATTTTACATCTAATAACATATTAAACTAAACTGTTGAATGAAGGATCATGCCCATGATATAAATATATAAATATGTCTGTGGATATATAGGCATATTGTTACTCTTAAAGGTGTTTTAATTAGCAAAGGATTTTTTTAAAACGTGTTTCAATAAAAACACACTTTTTGGATTAAATGCGTTCAATTGTTCAATTATTTGAGTGTTATTGAGGGACTCATGGATTATATCATGAATTACTTTGTAATCAGTCTCCAGTAACGCATATGGCGAATTGTAATTGGTATAGAAATTTTGAATCGAGCTTTTGTGTATTTCATCGCATTGTTATTCATTTATTGGGAGTGGGGCCTCTGTACTCTACAGGTCCTGTCTAACAAGGTAGTGCACTTGCGTAAATCTCCCGTGACCAAGCCGCAAGGCACATCGTGGTCAGTTTTTTAAATTTAGAATGCGAATACGCGATATAACTTTTATTATTGATACTTATCCATCTCTCGCTTTACAAAAATGTTTTAGTGGCATTTATGAATATGTATAAAGCAGCGACGCAATGTAAAGCGCAGTTTTTCTAATTGATAAAGCACATTTAATTTAGATTATGCTAATATGAATGTTTAACATTCTCTCATGTCTGACAATAAGTAGATGTTTGCGAAATAGATTTCATTTGTTACATTAGCTGCGCCGTTCAAAACGACATAATACGCAAATTAAGCTTTAACGTGTTTGACATAATGATGTAAGTAAGTTAATTTCTCTTTTATAACAATTATATATGTAGTCCAGACTCTTGGAAATTCTCTTTATTTCTGCGAATAGGTGAGAGACGCTGGGGACGGGTGAGTTACTTCCGAGTGTTGCGTTTTAACTTCAGCTGGATTGAATTCACTTTAACTCCCAATTGATAAACGCAACTTACTCGATGAAAGGAATCGTGAAGAAACATCTTACACCTAAAATCTCCGTGCGTTAGGGACTGGAAGGCTCCCTCATGCTTAACTGGTATAATTCCTAGCCACATTCATCGTCTTCCCAACTATGTGTATGTAAAATCCTATACGCCCAGTTATTATTATCTTATATATAAAATTCTCGTGTCACAATGTTCGTTCCCATACTCCTCCCAAACGGCTCGCCCGATTCTTATGAATTTTTTTATGCATATTCAGTAAGTCTGAGAATCGGCTACTATCTATCTTTCAAACCCCTAAATGATAAGTAATGTCCACCACAGTAAAAACATTATTATGTGGCATTAAAAAATACATACAACCCTTAATTTTCGCCCTCTACGATCAACCCCTATTTTATTTGTTAATTAAAATCTTATTACTTGAACTCTGAGAGAGAAATTCACAGAATAACTTAAAAAGTTTTCATTCCAGAAAACCGAACAGTCTATGGGTTACCATAGCAAAACGTTCCATGTTGGTATTTACTAAAAAGATAGGCTAAAATCACATTAAGGAGAAGTTCGAGGGGGCAGCTAGTTTATTTATAAGTTAAGGGCAAATTACGGCGGCTTAGGCTGTGGTTTATGCGGAAAGCCTCGTCTGTCACCTAAATAGCAACTTCGCAATTTACATTTCTGAACAGCTTCCAGTATTACACCAATACATTTAAACCATTTTCAATATATTTATAATAAAAATAGTTTAACGTAAACTAACCTTTGCTTACCTTTTATTTATAATATAAATAGTAGATTTTCTATGTTGTATAAATATTAATCGAGCCAAGTAGTTTAAACATTTCTTGATATAAGGCAGAATTTAGATGTTATAGTTTCGATGTTATCGATGTTAAAAATCTTTTATAGTAGTTTGTTTTCAATCTTCAAGATACCTCAAACTATATATTACTACTACATTAACACTTAGCTCTGCCGACGCCGGAAATATTTTCTTTAATACAACTTGAATCGCCGCCAGTTCATACTCAGCTCTCGGTAGCAGAGGCAGCGTGACTGACCTATCTACTGACGCATGCTGCTCACTTCCCTGTCCAGAGCTGCCATGCGATTCTGTTAATCCGTGAGTTCACCTCGCATTAACAACGCTCCCTTCACTCACGTCATTTTTGGAATCTCATGGTATTCTGTTAAGCAATTTCACATTACGCCTTGACAAGCGGAGGGAGCTTGTAGTTTATTGTTTATCAGAATGCCAAATCTTAAAATGATTGCTTCACGACGGATTTGAGCGCGACCGCCGCTGCGAAAACCGCTGTAAGAGTTCGAAAAGTGAGTTACAGAATCGCAAGGCTGATTCTGAAACGGCGTAATAGAACGATTTCCTTAATTGTGCGCGATTGCAACGTTAGTATCAAAAGGCTAGAATTGAAATTTTAAGAGAAAGTTTGATATCATGTTATGACGTTTATAACTTAGCATGTACGGAAATCGTTCTACAGAAATATCTACGCACGTTTTCAATGCAGAAAAGCAGCTGCAAAAATCATTATATTTTTTTAAATATGAATCCAATTATGTTTATTTAAGAATTTTCTAATATATATTGAGGAAGAGTAATTATTTTTGTACGAGCTATCGTAGTGTTCTTCGTTAAGTCTTTACTGTAAATCTGTCTAGATGTAAGGGATTATACTGATTTATGAATAAAATGTTGATATTTTTATATTGAGTTTCATTTGTTTAAAAGTAAAGTATCCAATACGTAGGCGGGCAAGAGATGTTTCCAATTCCTTGCCTATTCTAAAATTATGATATTCCTGTTTGTACAGCTTGTTAGTTAGTGGACTGTGAAAAGTGTGTTTAAAATTAATATCTCTTGAATGTCAGGAGTATCTGAATAGTATATGTAATGTATGTATGAGCAAGCTGCACTAGATGACTTTATGAGAGGGTGAGACATAAGAACCTAACAACCCTACGGATCCCTAAGCCCTACAGACGTACCCTAACACATAAATAGTGAATATATAAATATATAAATAAGTACGGGATGTCTGCACCAAGAGACCTAAGGTAACAGACGGAGCCCTAGGGGTAGGATCAAAGGTTCGAGGTGGTAGGATTATCTCAAAGCTACCGGGCAGGCTCACCACGATAGTTAAGGGCTTGAAGTAGTCTTCGCCACTTTGAGAGGAAGCGAGAAATGAACAAGACAGAGCAATATTCAAATCTCCTTTATTGTTTTAAAACAATATCTTAAATACTAATTACACCTATTCACACATACATGATATTTTTCTAGTGAGCTGTGTCGCGCAACCTCAGCTATTAAAATTTGGAACACATATGAACCGTGTCAGCAGCTGATTTATGTTCAATGATGAAATCTGAACTCTGTTCATATAACGTAATATAAGCTTACTCTAGTTTCATCAGGAAGCAACACCTGATGTTAAAAAGTTTCAAAAAACTCAGTGACGGTTAATGACAATATCTGTAATCACAAACTTATTCATTCAATCTCTTGGGTTTCGGGTTGGTAAAAAAGCAATGAAGCAGACGCAGTTATGTCTATGATCCATTGGGAATCAAATATTAATTAATAATAAAGAAAATGTAAGCATATTTTTCGTTTGAAACCAAATTGCTACCGACTAGACTCCAAGAAATTAATCAAGTGTAAATTCTACGTTAATATCAATTTATTTCAAAGCTGTGATTTTTATGTGATATTTACATTGCTGGGGTTTAAGGCATGACTTTGGGTTTAAAGCTTGATTAAGCGCTAAGCTAACACAGCATTCCAATAACGACTAGTTATATCTTTAAAATCTCTCATTAAAGTTTCAAAGTATCTCTGCGATAGTTCGAAATTAATATCTTGGAAAGATGGCTCTCTCCAACGGTGCGGTAACGTCATAGGAATTCTTATTGCTTCGCAAAGCTTAATAACTAGACTTCGAGAGCTTTAGTACCTCCTTTTAAAGTATAAATCCTTGACTAAAGACTTGTGGAATTTACAAAATATGAATGAAAAACCAACATTTACTGAATGGCAATATTAAACGAGGGAAGAAAGGATGGGTCATTTTATTTAATTGTAATTGGTGATAGGGTGGACTAGTGGCTAAAGCAATTAATTAAAATGCAAAATAAATTATAAAACATTGTGTTTACTTGTAAGAGAAAATATATGAACTGAATTAAATGACACCGCACATGTAAAAATAAAATAAAGATATTCCAAATTTAAATGCAGTGCATCATAGACAGCACCATGACCTTCCAACACCTTCTTCTGATGTTCACTCATGTTGCCGAGACACGTTTCTATATATGCATTAATCTTGCACAGTGTCTTTCAAATTTTATTTTTGATAAGTCAGCTAACTGAATTGACCGCTTGTGCGATATCCGGCCTGGTTCTGGTAGACAGGTACAGTAAACTTCCCACTGCTTCCCAATAGGCATATTCCTTCTCCTGGGCAGTTTCCTGTGTAGACTTTGAATCGCTACTTGCGGGCGTGTCACAAGGTTCAACAGTATTTTGTGTCCTTTGGCTTCTGACTTGTCAACAAATACCCAGGTGTTATTTTTCTGTAATGATTCCATTTCAGATTGTATCGCCTTCTCCCAATTTCGTCTGTCGGTGCCAGTCACAGCTTCTTTGTATGTGAGTAAAGAGCAGTCATAGTCGTCATTATTTTCTGATGTTAACATGGTCACGCAGCGACTTAACTCATAATCTTTGGTCCATGCTGGTGGTCTCACGTCTCTTTGTGGTCTTCCACTTGAGAAAAATGGTTCATCAACAGGATCTTGACTAGAGCTGGAATAAAGGGGGTTAGATTCCTGAAAAGGTAAGTTCTCATTAATTTTGTTTCTTGTTTCTTGAATTTCTATTTGTTCTGTTTCAGGTTCTGGAGTATGATCTTCGCGTTTTTCAGCAGGAGTACCGCCATAATGCATCTTTTCGATTACTTTTACGTCTCTGCTGATAATAACATCATTCCTTTCGGGTATATAGATTCTAAAACCTTTTGTATGTTCCGCATATCCCAAGAATACTCTTTCTGTGGCTTTGTCTGTGAATTTTCCTCTTCGTTTTTTATTCATCACAAACGCTCTATTTCCGAATACGTGTAGGTGATTTCCTGATGGTGTTCGTTGTACCCATTTCTCATATGGGGAATTGCCTTTGAGAGCTCTTGCTGGGCTTCTATTTATTAAATAGTTTGCAGTGTTTACTGCTTCTGCCCAAAACTTTGCAGGGATATTGGCATCTAGCATCAGACATCTGGCTTTATCCATCAGCGACCGATTTTTCCTTTCACTCATGCCATTTTGCTGTGGGGTATAAGGTGCAGATAGTCTTCGGCTTATACCATTATCTTTAAGGAATTTGTCAAACGCTTTAGACCTAAATTCGCCTCCATTATCAAATTGTAGATTTTGAATTTTCTTCTTATGAAACAGTTCAACATAGTTTTTATATTCCTTGAATTTATCGATTACTTGGCTCTTTTCTTTTAAGAAATATACACAGCAGTATCTTGTATAATCGTCAATAAATTTTACGAAATACTTTGATCCGGCCATTGATTCATTCTCAAATGGGCCACACACGTCACTGTGAATTATCTGGAGCACTTCGGTTGAGATTATTTGTCCATGGCTTTTGAATGGTAGAGTGGAAAATTTTCCTTTGATACAAGTCTCACAAGTACCCAAAGTTTTTTCTTTAAAGTCGAGTCCTCGCATCATTTTATTTTTAACCATTTCTTTTAGGTCTCTTTCATTGACTTGACCTAATTTCTTGTGCCATTTCATAATTTCGCTTTCATCACTAGGCGTGAAATTTGCTGTCTCTTCCGGTTTATCAAATTCAAGATAATATAATCCATTTCTTCTGTGAGCTTTTCATACAGTTTTCCCGCCTTTCGTGACACTGGCTTGTACCTTTTCAAATAGAACCTTATAGCCATGATCCGTAATTTTGCTCGCAGAAATTAGATTATTCGACAAATCAGGTACATATAATGTGTCTGAAAGACTAATTTTATAACGTCTATCCTTTGTATAAAGTTCGGCTTTTCCTTTCCCTTTAACTTCGGTCGTATGCTTCTCTGGTCGCGGGGATTAAGTTATGGAGTATACTTTTATCACCCGTCATATGTGACGTACACACACTGTCAAGACACCATAAACTGCCTTTACGTTCCTGCTGTTAAACAGATGTTATATGTCTTTTCTTGATCTTTAGTTTTATTGGGATTATTGGGTCTCTTCTTTGACCAACAAGCTTCTGAGGAATGCCCTTTTTTATTGCAATTCTTGCAAAATTGTACCTTTTTCTTCGTCTTTGTGTAGAATGCTTCTGAAGTCTGAGGTTCACTCGCTTCGGTTTGCCTTCTTGCTTCGTATTCTTCTACGATTTTTATTTTTAAATTGTCAGGACTTGGCAGAATATCTCTCGACTCAATTGCCGTTCGGAAGCTATCGAAATTTGTAGGTAAACTGTATAACATCAATATACTTAATAACTCTGGATGAATTTTGACATCCATGTCTTGTAATTTACCTACTACATCCATAAAATTACTGAGATGGTCTCTCACATCTTCTTCTGGAGTTATTTTCTTTAATACTAATTGTTTTAATAGCGTAGCCTTTCTTGCCGGCCCTGAACTTTGATATATAGACTTTAGTTTGTCCCATACCTCCTTAGATGTATTACACCCTTTAATTTGTTTTAGTTCTGGTGGAGATATTAGTAAAATTAGCTCTGACCTTGCCTTTAAGTCTTCCTTTAGGAATGCACTCTTTTCTTCGGCAGTCGCAGTTGCCGTTAACGTTTTTTTACCATTAGCGTATTCCCACAAATCGTCTCTTATGAGAATCGCCTGTGCTTGTAAGCACCAGGTATCGTAATTCGATTTTTTTAACGGTTATATGCTTCTGATACTCGAGCTCATTTTAAAAATTTGTATTTTCTCATTTACTTATTATTTTAAAATATGCTTCTTCCATTTTCCACTAGTTTATCCAACCACGCTCTGCTACCAATGATAGGGTGGACTAGTGGCTAAAGCAATTAATTAAAATGCAAAATAAATTGTAAAACATTGTGTTTACTTGTAAAAGAAAATATATGAACTGAATTAAATGACACCGCACATGTAAAAATAAAATAAAGATATTCCAAATTTAAATGCAGTGCATCATAGACAATTGTATGTGGACAGCACCATGACCTTCCAATGGCAGAATTTGGATGGTCCAAAGTTCAATCACAGACATGCCCATCATTAAACAATCACAAATAAACGATGCGCGCTTCAGTCTTTTGTTTCATTGTAGGAAGTCCATTGAAATGATTCCCTATATAATAAGCAGCAAGAATGTCAGATGCGACAACATGATACCTCATTTGGGGGAACATACACAAAAAATATTACTTCCTGCATTGACAGATAAATGAGGGCTTATGACACATCTAATAGACAAAATTCGTAGATATTTATTTGTATAAGATCTCGTGTATCGAATTACGAGTATATGTTCCGCTCATATATTGTCTCATCTCTTATACTAAGCACTTTCTTTATTAAAAAATATTTTATTTACCTCTAAAAAATATGCTTATAAAATTCCCGTTCGTGAATAGAAATCGTCGCTCGTGTAAACAAATTGTTTAAACGCCACTACACTGCTACGGATGTGCTACGAAGTGGAACGTAGCCTACTTTGTGCACGAAGTTTTAGAATCTCGTTAATATAATTAGTTTAGGTCGTTTCTCAACAATTTTTATGTCGCAACCCAGAAAAAAGCCAGTCAGTAAAACAGTCTTGCTACCCCGTCACTGTAAAATTATAATAATATGTACATACCGCGCTATTTATAACGAATCTTTTGTACCTAATGTAGTTTGTATTTATAATTTTTCCACAGATTGCTACCCGCTTTTAAAACAAACTCGCCCCCCAAGGGTCGCGACCCCCCGCTTGAGTAAACGGTTTAAGTTAACAGTTAACGTAAATCGTTAACCAAATTGGCTGGACAATTAAACTAGTTCAGAAGACGACAGGTCTTTAAAGTCTCTGCTTGTCATACTGAAATGATCTATTTTATTTTGGACTTAGATAACAGTCCAAGTATCATCAATGTCATAAATTTCATGCATGTGTGACAGGTCACAAGTGAATAGGAAAATAATATTTCATGTACATATTATACATGTAGTACATTTATATTTGAACTTGGTAATTTTTTTATTAATTAATTGTATAATTTATTCAAACTCAAACTCAAAATAACTGTATTCATATAGGTAACCAAGTACACTTATGAACGTCAACAGAAAAGATGTTAAATTGATTCCAAATTTACATTTACTATCAGCTCGCAAGTCAAGGGCGAACAAGAAGAACTGGCAAGAAACTCTACGCCACTCTTTTCAATAGCTACGTTTTGATTCGTTGGTGCTATGTTATTATACCTTCATATTTTTTTGTTAAAAGCCAACAAAACCTAATGTATTAACGTAGTTAGTATATATACCTCATGTACTAATGTTGCCTCATTGAAAAAAGTATTAATTCAAAATTAAAAGTAAACTTATTTAATATAGAAATAACTTTCATCACAGCGTAAAGACATTTTTGATAGAAAGGGACCTTAAATAGGAAAAAAACACCGATAAATTACAAGATAAAACTTTCTAGATTTTCAAACTTCATTATTTAGTCACCTTAAGATAGAATCAAAACCATAAATCGAAGTGTTTTGGGTTCAATGTAAGAAAAATAAACTTCGGTCTATTCACCGTAAAATCAGTATTGTCAGTACCTTTCTAGGTAATAAGAATGCATCAAAAGTCTCCACGTGACCATCAGCAAACATTGCAGACGTATTCCAGAAACGAGGAAGCCGCAACAGCACCCTGAAATTCTATAGCATCAATGGGTTTAGGAGCATTACAGGCTTGAATAAGAATTTTGAAGTCAAATAAGTAATCAGCCTACCAACTCATAATTTTCTCTGTGGTTTGTTCCAAGACTAGTAAGCAACGGCAGCACCAATGAAAGCAACCCTTTTGTAATATTTTATTTATGTAGAAAGCATTTATTAATGTTCTTACAAAATTTACACAAGCTTGCCCGTTTTTTCTGACCTTCTCCATTTTCCTTGAAACTCTACTATTTTGGCCGTAATGAATATCTTTGACACCTGAGCCCGTAACAAGTTCGCGATCATTACGCGTTCATGAAAGTCAATAGCTCGCCTTTTTGGTGAATGTCTTCACTTAATGATAGACTGGGATTTACTATTAATGAAATACTGTTTTTAGACCCTAAAGGTGTATATAATAAGGAAGCCATGTTCTGATTGTAATAAAAATAAATCAGTGGCGCTACAACATCTTTAGGTCTTGGTCTCATATTTCTGAATCGATTTCATGATCATTTTTTAAATCTAATAGGCAAGTAGGTGATCAGCCTCCAGTGCCTGACACACGCCGTCAACTTTTTGGGTCTAAAGCATGTCGGTTTCCTCACGATGTTTTCCTTCACCATTCGAGCAAATGTTAAATGCGCACATAGAAAGAAAGTCCATTGGTGCACAGCCAGGGCCACGACCTCAGGTATGAGAACGAGAGAAGCCACTAGGCCAACACTGCTTAATTCTGATTGCAATAGGGTGTAAAAATGACGAAAATAAAACGAGTTGGTTCGGAAATACTTCAGTGGGCAGCTGGTTCCACATAGTGATGGTGCGCGGCAAATACTGCCTTTAAAAACGCTGAGTTGTGGAACGGCGGAGGTGATACGGGTGGAATTTCGTATTACTTTAACATTCACAAATTATATACCAACATTTTTCTGGCCTAAATATCCTCTAAAATTCATAAATCTGGTTCTAAATATAATCCAAGGACTCTTAAAGTGGGTCAGTTTTCCTGGATCTTAATATTGAACTTCCGTCAGACGTTCGAGGTTACCGTGGGCCTGAAATGGGTTTTGTTTTGTTAGGATGGCAGTAAACATACATAAGAACGTATGAAAAATAACCCCACTCAAATAATGAAGGCTCGTTTGCTTTGTATTTGTGTTAGGTTCCTCTTACCAATGATTAATTAATACAATATATAAGTTTGTTGATGCTATTTAAAAAAAATCTTACCAAATATCGTATCGTATTACTCAATTAACAAACACTATTTTTGAACAAGCCTCATATAAGTCTAACATAAATAATAAATGTATTCTTTAGATAACTAGTAATACTACATAACAATGGAACCCCACTGATCCTTAGTATCGGCTGTCCTGTCAAGAATTCGATTCTGAAACATTGTTTGAAAATATTAATAATAATAATAATCTTTATTTCTTCTCTCACATATACATACAAGGTTATTATGATTAAACTAAGATGATAACATTAGGAAGTGTATGTGAGAGACTGGTCTCTGTAACAGGAGACCTGAGTGACAGATATAGACGTTTGGACGAAGTGTACTTTAGTCTAAATAGTCTCCTGAAAATACATCATACAAACGTTTAGTTGTTGAAATATGTACGAAATTACATCTTTCTAGTACCACTTTTGTATAGATAACTGCGCAGAATATTCAAACGCCTAGCAGTTTCAGCATAAAAGGTGTAATCGCCGACTGGCTTAAAGTATTTAACGATTAGGAAAATCAATCAATTTCTATCTATATAGGACGGCCATACGTAATAGACAGAAATAGATTAAATATTAAATTATCACGGTATTATTAATTCAGTGTTGATCGATAAAACTAACTACTAATTCTAATTAATTTGCGATATTTGTTTTAAATAAGTGTTGTTTGATGATTTGCTGTTTTAAAAGAGTACCGAGAGTTTTTTACGCCGGCTTTTTCTCTCGGCTTACACCCTCTGTCTTCTTTGCCGATGAGTAGGGATGCCTTCAAATTTAATGACGTGGAATAAGTGATACATGTATCTTATGTTCCATAATAAACATATTTTATTTTATTTTTATTTTATTTTATTTAACTAGCTTATGGGTTCTGGATTCCCCTAAAATAATGTATAAAATTTATAGGTATTTAAAGTTAAAGACTTTCAATGATATTGAAAATAGTTACTATTTGATCATAATATCAAGAATTTTTGGAATTGATACATCTGAGTGTGGTTTTTACGGCAAGTGAATGTTCTTTACAAACGCAGACATATTATATCCTAATTGCGGCTTAGTAAATACTGAATCCTGATTAAATCAAATACATGCATTCATACTAAATAGGCTATTTAGTATTTCCCTTAGAAAATAAGTCGTAATATTTGTGATCTGTAATTAAGATGTTGGATCAAAGGAAACGTTAATTTAGAGAGGCTCTTTGAAGTCTTTTTCTGTACAAACTAGCGATTCTGTTAAATATTTACTTAGTATGAAACAAAGTTGATATTGATAATTAGTACGCGATACCTTCTATCTTTTAAAAAACGCAACACAAGTAACAGAAATAATTACGAATTATTTAAAACTAGCTGTGCTTCGCTACTTCAGTTCAAAATTGTACAAAGAAATAAAACTTTTAACGGTTAGATAACTAATAAAGGGTTTTCCAATAGGCACTTGACAATTTTGAATTTAGTTTGTGAACGCACGCTTTTCACCTAACATCGAACTGTCACTGTCAGTTTATACAGTAGACATAACCATTTCATCATGGAGAAGTACACGAACGAACAACGTCTGCAAATCTTAAAAATTTACTACAGAAATTCGGATTATGTGAATGGTGATCGTTATCGCGCCATGATTATCGATTATTTTTGGCCCGAATTGGAATATATGGACTTGGACAGCATGTGGTTTCAACAGGACGGCGCCACGAACCACACAGTACACGTTACAATCGATTTAATGAAGAACAAGTTTGATGAGCGTGTTATCTCAAGAAATGGACCAGTCGATTGGCCGCCTCGTTCGTGCGATTTAGCGCCTCTAGATTTTTTTCTTTGGGGCTACGTCAAGTAAAAGTAAAAAATCATTTAATCACATAGGTAACATAATGTACACTTATGACTTGTCAGTAAAGAATAATAATTAATAATTTATTAAATTAAATTAATAATTCTAATTTTACATTTACTGCCAGTTCTCAAATCAAGGGTGTAGAACGGGAGAGAAGAACTGGCAATAAACTTTCCGCCACTCTTTTTAGTCGCCATTTTTTTGTTTTACAAAATATTTGTAAGGAGCTGCAACCGTTACACCATGTCCCATGTGACATTTTAAGTAATTAATAATAATAACATAAATTAAAAACAAAGATTTGTCGTGTATCAGCAGAAGGCATTGTCAAATAGGAGCACGCACTTACATTCTCGTGGGAACAACACGCAAGTCAAGTCATTGGTCTATGCTAATAAGCTGACGTCGTTGGAAGCTGGAAGGAGCAGCCGTTTCGGCCGAAATGTCTGGCAGAGTCACGGAAAATCGACCGCTGCACACGTGCCCGCGGTGGCCATATGAGGGAAGTCGAGTTCCATTCATAAATGTTTGAAATATCTCAAATGGTTTTCATTTTATTTTGAAAAAAAGTTGTCAAGTCCTTATTGGAAAACCCATTACAATATGCAGACTTTTTTGTAAACAAACACCGACCACACCACATCATACAAACCTCCTTCTGAGGCCCTTTCATCATTAACCACTTTCGTAAAAACAATTTTTTTACTAACGATTCCAAACTTCCTACATTCACTAACAATTTGAACAAACCTATCCTATAATGAAACATAAAATATTCTTATTGTGCAACAATAGCTTAAATATAAAATGTAAGCGTTATGTAGAAATTGTCAAGTACCGTTAACATGTCAAAAGGAAGAACCTAGCTGCTGACGACACAGGGAATTCTAGTGTAGTGCACTTTATCTTTTACCTATTTTATTGTGTATAATAAAGTTTTTTCTTTTATTTTCTCTGATGTTCGACTCGCATTAATTCAGTCGTACCACCTAAAGCTTTCGTCGATAAAGCTTACTTTTAAATGCAAAAAGATTTATTTTTTGTTAGACATGTCCTGACTATTTATGTCTTCTATAAAACTGTAGTACTTTACTCTGTTATCAATAGTTTCCGCAGCGTACTTAATTACGTAAATTTTATTAGTCTTTTTCGCACACTCACTATCATAATTTTACACACAATCCAAACTTTTTTGAAAGTATTCTATAGCTTATCTACACTACTAGGGGATAATGTAGGATTCTAACGATAGCGGAATTATTCAAATCAGTCATGTAGTTTTTGAGCCTATTCAATGCAAACAAACAATTAAATATTTCCTCTTTGTAATATCTATTAGTGATGATTACACATATAATTTAATAAATCGCGTAAATATATAAATCAGTGGCGCTACAGCGCGTCTGGCCCTTAGATTTATGTATCTGTTTCATGATCATTTGCTAATCTAATAACTTTTTGGGTCTTAGCCGATTTCTAAACGATGTTTTCCTTCACTGTTAGAGCGAATGATAAATGTGTACATAGAAAATCTTTGGTCGTTATTGGTGCACAGCTGGGATCGAACATACGTCATCACTCCTCTTAGCACTCACGATAGCGAAGCTTTATGTCTTATTATGAGGTGACTATAGAATAAAATGCTTTTGAAAATAGCCCAAATATATCTTATAATTCCTTGAAACCTTTTCATCCTGACCTGATATTCTGCTTCCGCATGTCCAATAAAATTTCCCGTATATTCTGTTCAGGCATTCATCTCAATTCATGGCGTGTCGTATGCAGATGTCCATCGCAGCTAACGACGTCACCAATTTATCTTGTTACTGTATGATTTCGGTTCAATAGATTCAGGTTTAATTAAAATTCTGAAACCTATGTTATTTTTACCCGCTTCAAAAGTGTACACATTTAAAATTTGAAACTAATAATAGAATCGCTAGTGCCAAAAACTGCGTGTCATACTAGTTGGGGGCCCCGCACCCTGATAAGTATGAAGGTGACGTTTGAAGTTTGGCTTGTTTGGCTGACGTTTTGAGATTACCCCAGGGTGTACCACACTTCCGCTGTGGAGAATCCTCCTCCGGGCGTCCACAATTGGAACATTCAGCATAAGTCAACTAACGAACAGCACAGGCTGTAATTGAAATTATTATTAAAATACTAGCTGACCCGGCAAACGTTTGTCTTGTATATTATTTCTAGGAAACATTTGTTTAGTTTAATAACAATAACTATCTACAATAATAAAAATTTAGGGGTATGACCACCCTTAACATTTAGGGGGGATGAAAAATAGATGTTGTCTGATTCTCAGACTTACTGAATATGCATACAAAATTTCATAAGAATCGGTCGAGCCGTTTCGGAGGAGTATGGCAACGAACATTGTGACACGAGAATGTTATATAATAGATTGTCTACTGTTAAGTGTTAAATTGTCTGCTCAAAAATATTAATAAAATCAAAGAACTGATTACAGCGTGTTATTTAGTGAATAAAATATTATTTCCAAGGCTTTACAAAAAGAAAACTTTGAAACACAAAATGTGATAAGACTATCGCTCATGTGGCAGGTTCTTTTGACACTTACAGGTTCCTCTGTCCTCGATCCGTCATTCTGTCGAGAATTAAATATAACGAATGAGCGTCGTCGGTAATATGGAAATATATAACATAGCTTTAAAAATACTAAAAAAAATAAAAATCTCTCTTTGGTTCGCGCAAATACATTGTCAGGGGCAAACAGCCAGAAAGTTCACATGATTTTAAGACGTAGGGTCTAGCGCGAATTGCTGTGTCAGTGTCTCGGGTGGACTGCGGGGCGCAGTGGAGAGCTGGAGCACTGAGGCGCGCCGGCCCGTAATAACAATTAGTTATGTAAAACATTAAATTAATGTCTGTAAAAAAATGTTTTATCAAATTTTTTCTGAAATGGACTACTTGGCTTGCGATAAATATCGTGTATATCGTGTAAATTTCAAAATCATGTTCTATATACATTTTCGTCATAAAATGAATTTAGAGTGTCAAAAATTGGCTGTTTGGATTTTTTTTCTATCGAGCGAAGATATTTAAATCGTGTATCGATCTTTCAAAGTGGATACATAAACTACTCAACTCCACTATATATTTCATCGCCCTACTTCAAGAAACGATGACGAAAAATGGAAAGAAACGATGTATTTTTTTGGAGTTTGGCGAAGTGATACCGCCGCTCATAGACACAGATTGCCAAAGGGCTCGCAAGTGCATTGCCAGCTTCTTAAGAATTGGCACGCTCTTTTCTTGTTTCCTAAGTCGAATTTGTTCGGAAATACATCGGTGGGCAACTTGTTCCACATAGTGGTGGTGCAGCAAAAACTGCTTTAAAACACTCAGTTGTGGAACGACGGACATCAAGGTGATACGGATGGTTTGTATTCGCGGTTTTCTTAGAGACATTGGTACTGCCCCGGTCGTGTCTGCCCATTTGACAGAAACCCGAAAGGCAGCAGCATGGCACTCCCACTAGGAAAATTAAGTAACAAGACAAATCTGAGTTGTATATTCAACGTATTTAAAATTCTGAATTTAAAAAATTATATAATGATATTTTTAATTAAGATTGCGAGTGCTTAAATCTGGTGCCATAAAGGGTTTATGGCGTCGTGGGATATATATAATATAAGGTTAACATATAATAAAAAGTGATTTTTGGTTAGCGTTAAATTCTATTCTATTGTATTTGAAATAATATAGACGAAAATAAACAAATTAACCGGAACAACGCGTACTTTACGCTTCCTATTTAGAGTAAGAAATTTATTTTTCATTAAATTACGAATTATGTTCTGAATTTTCTAAATCACACTTTTTCAAGACTTTAAATTTATTTAAAAAGGTTGGTACTCGTATATATTCTTATATACATTTCGTCTTCATATATATGTCAAACTTGCAACTATATATATGTTTTTAAATAGCAGATGTTAAACTAAAATTAAAATATCAGAGTAATTGGCAATTACAATTGGGTTTCTGAGAGAATTACAATTTTTATTGTTTGACCGCGTTCAACCATTATTCCAGGCTGTTACGAACACGTGTTTACATTTAGACTGATTTTATTTGACCTACTTTCTATATTAATATACACGCTTGCACAATTCAACTGTTTTGAATAAATTTGATTAGAGAAAAACCATAAAGATACATGCATATAGAAAAACGTTACACTTCGAAATTCCCTCACCACCTTAAGATTTTTTGATGTTTAAAAAAACTAAAACTTGTCAATTAACAATAAAAAATTTACACTACACGATATAAGAATCTAAAAGAATTCTGAAATAGAAAAATATAAAAGATATCTGGCAGCGGTGGGATTCGAACCCACGCCTCCGAAGAGACTGGTGCCTTAAACCAGCGCCTTAGACCGCTCGGCCACGCTACCTTGATGCGTTTCATCGAAATAGATAAATAGTTACCTATACAGACATTATATAACAGCTAAAATTAAACAAACACATTCTTCGTAAACTTGTTGTATGTTTATAGACTTGGTCCAAAGTATGACTTACTTAATATCACTAAAAACATTAAAAATACATACAAAGAGAAAAAGCGAAGACAACGGATATCGCCATTTTCTAAAAACTATTTAAAATATATAAACTACACGAAATATACAAGACACAATTGACGAGCAAAAACTAATAATGGAAACTCTGGTGAAACCAACTTCGTTGGATTAACCTTTGGCCTGTATCGTAATGAATATTTTATCGTTGTTTAGAGATCTGAGAAGATTAAACATCAGAAAGAGATCAGAGAAGTGTAGAGATCAGAATGAAAGAGTCTTTTCCGTAATTATTAGCACTACTTTATTCGTAAATTAAAAATAAATCAGTGGCGACTGGCGCTACAACCTTTTAGGGTCTCAGATTTCTGTATGTTTTTCTGGAAAATGTGTCAACCTTTTACACAAGTAGGTAATAAAACTGTCACACGCAGGCGACTTTTTTGGAATGTTAATTGCTGTGGACAGAGAGTCCATGGGTGCACACTGCACAGTCGGGGATCGAACCTACGACCTCAGGAATGAGAGTCGCACGCTGAAACCACTAGGCCAACACTGCTCACTCCTACTTGTTCCCCTATAATCAAATTACGCAGTAAAGAGACAGTCAAGATTTTACAATACATTTGCCACTACAAAAATAAAAATTTCTCAAATTTTACAATTCGATTTGGTAGTCTGAATCGACTTAAAACAAAGTAAGCAGTTACCAACATCTACGTACTTTGAAAATAACATTTGAATGATAAGTTAGAGAAGTGTGTTAAAGTGAGAGTTTTTTAGGATACAATGTTTACCTTTTATGAAAGAGAAGTTCTACATATATTATACTGAAATTGGTCTCGTCACTCATCAGCAAAAACACTTTGCATGTGACATGAGTGATATTGTAGTACCTTTTCGTTGACACTACATTTACGTTATATGACAGCTCTGAGAACTACATAATACACAGCTCATGGA